GTGAGACAGGCGTCTACTCTAGCAGTTTTTAAAACTGAACTGAAAACAGTTCTTTTTAGCTGTGCATACAAGTGAATGATTTTACATTTGTTTTTATCTTTAATCTTTTTAATGCGCTATGATTATTTATGATTATTTATGATTGTAATCCCTTGTGTGATTTTAATTTTTTACGGTTTTTAACTACTTGTGTGATTTTATATATCTTGTGCTCTTAATCTGTCTTTTTATGTTTACTTAAATTCTAATGTTTGATGATTTATGCATGATGTTATATGGGTTGTGAGGCGCTTTGCGTTGCCTTGTGTAGGAAAGGCGCTCTATAAATAAACGTTGATTGATTGATTGATTTTTGAGGTGATTTTCTAAGATGTAGGAGCACTAATAACAAAAACAAAAATACATTCTTTATTTACCCCCTAGTTTTGTTTCAGCTTGTTTGTTAAGCAAATGCTTAAAATCAAGTGATAGACTACACCTCATTGGAGCATGTCTATCTACGTGCATTCTTCAAGTAGATAGACTCCAAAAGTGATCCGCCAAAGTACCTAATTCATTTCTTTAAAATGTTTATTACTGAGATTTTTGTAAATAAAATAGTTACCATGTACATTGAGACCAAATGAACCATGTCTATCAAATGAGCCTTCTCATGTTTAAAAGAGGAGATGTTTCAACAGAAAAGAGAAGCTGGACACATGAGAGCAAAGGCATGAGACAGCTGTGTGGAGTTTCCTCATAACCAAAGTCATAGTTCTGCAGCGTGACAGACAGCGCACAGACCTCATGGCCGCACTGCTGTCCCCGCACTCTCCCACCGCAAAAGGTGACAACAGCACAAACTCAAATAGGATTTTTCTGCTGCAACATCTCAAACAGAAAATAACTCAAACGAATGATTTGTGTTTTGTTCAAATCCATGTTTTCTGAAAATTGCTTCTTGGTTCATGGTCAATGTGTGAAACTTGATAAACTCGCAAATTAGACTTTGAGACGCCCCAAGATCCAAGGACTGCAATTCAGCTTCGGCAAGGCTGGGTTTTCAAAAGCAACATTATTTTCTATTCCAGTCGTCACATGAAATAATGTATTGTACTCGATCATTCTTGCCGACTGTCAGAGTGTATACTTTAGGTAAACTAGCTACTTGCATGTATTTGAGAGCATGTAATTACTCTGGGGTGACAGTTTGTAGAGCATTAACCTTTGAGCCTGAAAGTCACGGGTTATACTCTCACAGACAGAAGCCGTCGTCCTGTGAACCACCTGCAGGAGGATCAGTGAGGGGCTGGTGCTCTGTGAATTGGGCGGCAAATACCACCGCCATGTTTGGGTTTGTTTGTCTGTTGAAGGGTTTGTGATACAATGTGGAAGTTGACATATAAAGTGCAAAATTGTACATAGATACACACAGCAAACATATTTTATAAGCAAGAGACTTTTGGAAACAAGAGTCAGTTGAGTACTTTCTTTGAATGGCGTTACCGCTGTTTTTAAGCCTTTGTCGAGGGAAACACACATTACTTTCAGTTTGTCCAGTTTTGTAAAAGTAACATAAGCCCTTTAAATAAGCCCTTTAAAGACTGAATGTATTATGCAAGCACTCCAGCTTTGCTTCAAAATTATAATTCTCTCTCACTTAAAGGAGAGTAGTATTTATTCTTCTGCACAATTCTAAAACACAAAAAAAAGCTCATAATTACAAACATAAATCTGATGTGCCACCGCCATCTGCTACTGTGTTGGCACTTTGTTGTGAAGACGTTGATTGTGATTGTGATAAAAGGGTAGGTGCAAATGTTTCATCACTCATATTGTGATTGACATCTACATCTGTCCCCTGGTAACACCACACATGTACACATATTGGACTTTTCTGAACAAAAGTTTGAACTAGAGTTTTTCTTAATTATAAAACAGACAAGACAATTATGATCAGAGAGCAGACTATCTCTGGGGTTGCCAGTTTGTTAGGTGAAATTGAGATGGTTTTGGCTTTTTTCTTTTAAAATATTCACATCACAAACAAAGAAGCACCACACATGTATTTAAAATTCAAAGCAGATACTAAAATAAGTAGTCATACATAATACACAGAGGTTTTCCCAGCAGGTGGTCATCAAATAACCAGTGCTTATGTGTCACAGGAGGGAAGATTCTGGCAACAAAAATTACTTTATTAGACCACTAATCGTGCATATTATGCATATTTTATACATCCGGCTGCTCTGTCAGTGACATCACAGCCTTGATCTTTCAGCGGGGGCTTCAGGCAAAGTGGGGTTAAGTGTCTTGCCCAAGGACACAATAACAGCAGACATCAGTGGGAGTAGGTGGAGAAGGTCTCGAAGTTGGCACAAACCCAGGCTCAAATGCTAATGCTCTACCAACTGAGCTTCTGTCGCCCCATAATATATACAGCCCTTTTAAATTGATGAAAATGTATTGAAAATAATAATGTCATATGTAACTATACAACAGAAAAAAGCACAATACGTCTTGAGAAATCCCCTCTAACATCAACAAAATGCACATGAAATCCACATTTTTGTCTCAAGCTCCAACCAAACCAGTATTATTAAAGCGCACACTGAAGGCAACAGAAAACCACCGCCTTCTCTGTTCCACACAGGCCGCCGCCTCTTTGATCACCCACTGAAGGTCTTTATACCCCCTCCTCCTCACTCACACTCACATCAGAGACATGAACAACTACATTGGGACTGAGGTGATCTGTAGAAGACTGATACTCTCAAAAAAGTTTCATTTATAAAACCACATCACGCCTGCTTTCACTTGTCCACAGCTTCACCAAAAAATGATTTTCTAGTGATGTCTCCGGATTCAAGTGTCAAGAACATGATTTGGATGACAACTATTATTAAGGAAATATAGAAGTCTGTATGTACTGAGCTCAAAAGAGGTTAAGAGGAGACAGGAGCAGATGTGTTGTGATTTTGCCTCGTATAAATATATCAACACCCAGTGTGTTTAGGAGCAGACTGAGCAGAGTTACTCATACTCGATACAATCATATAAGGGAACACAGAAAAGAAATGTTGCTTCTATTTCACAGCCCTTCAGTCTGGAATCTTATATTTCTGGTTCACTTGTGCCTCATCAGATTGTACCTCATCCATGTTCCTTGGATAAAAATTGAAATATTGATGAAGCTGCTTTCTCCCATTATGCTCCTTGTAACTGAAGCCCAATGCCTCAAGACAGTGAAAATGCTCATTCAGAAATTAAATTAAAGACTCGCTTGTTTGAACATTGCAGACTTCTGTTTTGTGGCATTGTCTCTGTTTGGCACATTCCTTCCTTCCCCATATTTGTCAGTCAGACTAATTGTCAATTGCCAAAGCATTAAATCTTACACATTATCGATATTGAACATCTCAATATTGATCCAAACTATAGAAATAAATGGTGGCATCAGATCATGCAATATCCATTTCTCCAAATCCAAGAGTAATTATCCATCATTATCCATATTTATATAATATTCTTACTGTTTTTATTGATCCATTAACCAGTGAAATGATAATAAACTTGGATGGCTTTAATTTGTGAATCATTATTATACTGCATATTTTAAAAATGTTAAAAGGAAATATTAAAAAACAAAAAGGAGTGACATACTTCCTGAAGGAAAAAAGCTATGTCATAATAAATGCTGTCGAAACACAAACTGACCTAAGCACACTGGTATCAAGGATGAAAAGACAGAAGTTATAATAAAAAATAGAGAAGGAGATTGTAGTAGATAGATAGCAGTGGAGTAGTGTTTTGAAATGCAGGATTATATGTTTTTGCACCACCTTTGAGTGGGTGAATGAGAAGTACATTTTACACAATACAATGTCTTTAAAATAATACAGGCACGACCTCATAAGCGATGATGTCTAAACCAAGTCAAAACACACAAAAAATCCCAATAATTTTCACTCTTATTGATGTTTTTCTGCACTTTAAGCTGTGCACCCAATCTTGCCTGAGGACATAACATCAGCACAGCACATCTCGCCTACGTAGTCATTTCAAACCTGCTTCATCATCGCTAACAGATTTCAACACTGCTATTTACCTCAAGTGCTTGTTTGGCAAAGATCCAGATTCAGGCTTGTGTAAAGAGGCTATTAGAAACTATTTACCTTTTCTGTTTTATCCAGCGCCGCACTCCCCTCTCTCTGTTCTGCAGCCTGATCCCCGCATCCAGCTGGTCCGGGTTCCCTCTTCATTTGAAAAGTTCTTTCGTTTTTTATGAAATGTCCACTTAATCATAAAAAGTGTGGGAGAAGTCCTTCATTAATACCATTAAAGTGCTGAAAGTGAAAAATAATACTGTCACACACTGATGAGCTGTCAATTTGAATTATTAAAAATGGTAATATTCATGTTGAATTTATATTAACGGTTAGAGAAAAACCGAAGTTCAAAATTAATTATCAATTATTATTCATATCCTTTTAGCCACACCGAACACTAGAGATGATTACTTCGCCATTTTAAAAGTAGCTGGTGTTTACTGTATCGCCGCAGTTAGTCCAGCGGTTCAATGAAAATCACTGCAAACCAAAGTCTTCCTCCGCTCTGGGTTCACTCAATATTCATAAAGCCTCAATGACACTCTTTAAAAATGCATAGGCCATCTGTGCAGTTGTCAGTGCAAACAAACTTTGGCTAGCTGCCCACCTGTTTCCCTGGCACAGCCAAATATGGTGGCCTTGTGGTAGACGCCGTTCACGTTTAACCACGTTTTGTGCTTTTTGAGATTTTGAAACTGCATAATGACGTTGTGTTCCTCCGAGCTGGATTGATGAGGTAGAACTATTTGTATCCGATTTGTAATGTTTTGTTGTGGAATTGGAAGCAGGAATGTCAAAAAAGTACAACAGAATTCAACTCATTGCGTACAGTCCTTGGCAATGATAAACAAAACAGGCACTTGAGCACCAGATTTAAAAAAAAAAAAGCAGTCATCCCACCATTACGCGGCGCTAAACAGAGCTCTCGTCCGGTATCGGTAGTATCTGCGTGTGTTTCCTCTTTTCCAACATCTTACTCAACTCATCTGTGAAAGAATATCCGTTCGGCGATGTGTTGGCTGAGTCGCTCTGTCTTAGCAGTACGTAGCTATTTCCGTTTATCCTTCGTAGCATGCTAGGCAGAGATGCCGATAGCCCGTTGCTGAATTCGCACTCTGGCGACTGGTGGTCTGGTGTGGACGGGAGAGGCGGGGCCGGCGGCGGTGAATCCCTGTTGGACGTTGTGTGTCCTTCTCCCGGCACGATCTGAAGAAGGCCGCCGTTATGCACTTCTCCGTTGTGATGATGCTTGGCGTTACCGTTAGCGTAGCCGTTGCAGTGGGCAGAGATGGTCTTCAGCTCCATGTTAGCGGAACTTCGATGCTTCTTGTTTTTCTTCGCCCGTTTGTTGCTTGGATACGAAGCGGCGGCGGCACGCAGCGAGTACTTCCCGCGGTTGCCGACACGCAGGCAGAACCCGACGTACAGAAGCACCACGGTTAGCACGATGCACAGACCGCCCAGAATGGTGATCAGCGTTAGGTACAAAGCCTCCATGTTTTGCGAGGTGAGTAAGCTCGAGGTGGGCAGCAGCGGAGCTGGGACTGGGTTTAGCGGGCGCTCTGTGGAAATGGCTTCCTCCGGAGTTGGCAAAGTGAAGACGCTAACAGCCTCGTTCGGTTCCACGTCGTCAAAAGTTGGCGTATCTTCTTGAACGCTGATGTTGTAGGAGACGACAGGTACGCGGATGTTGTTCTCCAGGTTGTAGCAGGTGTACAGTCCGCTCTGGTCGGGTTTGGCGTCGATAATGAGCAGCCCGTCGGTGCCTGTGCGGACCCCGGAGCTGAGGCCGTAGCCCTGCAGGTCACGCCCGTCCTGGGTCCACACGGGCGAGGCCAGGTTAGAGGTGAGCTCGCACTGCAGGAGAACGTCATCGCCCACTCGCACGAACCGCCTCTTCTCGAGCACCGCTGGAAAAGAAGGAGTCAGGTGGTTAGTTTAGTGACGTATATAAATGTTGGACCATGTTTTCTTCTTCCCGAGTGGCTTTTCTCTGCGCTTCTCTTTATTCCCATCCCCAGTGTTAAGAGTGATCCATGCTCCACCCAGCGGCTACACCACCTCTGCTGCTGTGTCCTAAAGTGCTGATGCATTTTATTACAATTGGCATTTGGCAGTAACTTTGAGAATTATGTATTTATTTATTTGTATGGATGGATGCGTTTCTGCTGCTGGACACCTGTACCTCTCCTACGGGGATCAATACAATATCTAGCCATCTATCAATCTATGTATGTTTCAGTAATATTCAGATGTATTCAAGTCGCCATCACTCCCAACTATCCACCTTTTCACATTCACAGTTCTTGACTGGCTTTGCTTTTGTTCAAAATATAAACTTTTGTCAGAAGTTTAGCTCACTATTACGCTATTATCACTGGGAATGTGACCGTGATAAAATGCTGCGTTCTCACATAATGTAAGGGTTTACGTTTGGTTAAAGAAAGAACATTTGACTAAACACTCAAACATATATTGCTTTTCTTGTACTATTAAATTATTGCAGCGCAGGTTGTCTGTTGATTATGATGAATTACAATTAATTCAAACTTGCACAACCACAATTTTTTGTTTAACGGGCTATGAGGTAAAAAAACAAAAACACATTTGTTATTCCTGACAATTTATTAATTACATCTTCACATTGGGCAAACTCCAAACCATATTTCCATGTCATGTCCATTCTCCATGTCCCTCAAAAACGACTTCTGCTGGAAGATTTTATTCACCGATTCTGGACACACATAATAAATAACCTCCCCAAATTACCATCTGTTGTTTAGTCTGGGTGACTGTCATTTTGCTAATTAGCTCACTCTCCAGCGGACATTTGTCACGCTTCTGGTGCTGTGTTTCCTATCTCAGTAAAAGACAGGATCGCTCTCTCTGGGCACTACCTGTATCCGGCTCACGGAGACTCCTGCATTATTTATATGCCTCTATTTTCACAAACTTTGACCAGAATCAAATGTTTCCAGCTTTCTTTTTCTGCCAGTATCTGTTCTCATTAGCTGCCTTTTCTCTACCCGTTTGTCTTCTGAAGTTGTCAATATTCTGGATCACATTTTAGAATCAATTTTTAGGCATCAAAAAACATCTCTTAATGACACTTAGAAAAATCCATATAAGCGAGCATATCCAATTTAAATGAAAATGTATAACACAAAAAACATGCGTGCATCTGCCTCTGCATTGAACATATAAAAAAACATTTTTCTGTGATTGAAATGAATGAAAAGATTGCATTTTTAGCTACTGAGCAAACATTTTGTAACTAAGGGTGTGAGGAATGTGACAGAAAATAAAATGTAAAGAAAAAGTAAATATGGAGGTGCAGCAAAATGCAACCAAAGAATTCTATTGGATTTAGTTTGACTTTGACAGTGTAAAATGTCGTAATGTAAAATAAATTAAATTAGGGTACAGGAATGACCAAACTAAGCTATGGGGGCCAATTATATGGTGCAACTGTAGGCGGCAAAGTAAACATTTGTCATTCAGGCAACATCAGATCCATCAAATATGGATCAAGATTGACGCGTCTGGCTTCATTTTAAAGCTCAGAACAGCCTGAAAGCAGTCGATACAGTGAGTCTGCCCCAGGAGACGTCTGGTGAACTAAATAGGCCTTCTCACTTACTAGTAGATCCACACAAATCATATCACTTTCAACAAACATTTTATTCTTGTCAACATTGTGTTTTATTTCTTGTTGGTTGCCTCCCTCAGCGAGCCCACTAAACTCACAATGTAATAATGTGGAACCTAAAATTACTTTTCTATTGGAACAGCGGAGGAAAAGTAGGAAAGCTTTTCTTACACATTCAGATCAGAGCGTAGCGTCTGATGTGGCGTTAGTAATAGTGCTAATGAACTCGGGCGGAGTGATACCGCGTTCTAATTGGAGTGGAACTGACACGAGCGTGATGCGTGGGTGTTAAAGGTTGATTAGCCAAATTGCGATGCTCATTTCTACGTGCTGTTTACCATCTCTTGTAATTATTTAATGTTACGACAGATAAAACCCATCCTCCGACACGTGCTATTTCTTAATTGCGGCTATCAAATGTCTTTCAAATGCAGAGGCTGAACTGTGGAGTCATGAAAGAACAATGAGAGGGCAGCGGCTTGGACAGATTGAGAGTGCAAAGTTAGACAAGACGTTTACCCGCCTTGAATACAAAGTGGGTCCATTCCTCTGCAGAGATAGATGAGATTTGAGACTTTTCTAGCACAGTACGTCTAATCAACTTTCAGAGACAAGTTGGGGTCACCGTCTTTTTGCACTCCTCCTTATTCCTAATGGATGTTTATCATGCGTGGTGGGACTTTCCTGGAAGCCCTGTGAGATTCTTTTGGCAGCTTTTTCCCTTACCCTGCTGGTAGTTTTCGCATCCTCGTCTGCCGTGTAGGATGTCCTGGATTAAAGCAGACCTGTGGAAGTAAACAAAAATAATGGCGTTAATGTGGCAGCTGAAAAAGATGTTTAGTGTTGTGAATCTAAAAAAGGGAAAAGTTTGCTCGAGTTGACAACATTTGAAATTGTTATGACTTTAACATACACAACAGCAATCACTTGTTAGCAAATTACTTTAAAGATATTTTCAAGTAAGAACTTTATTCTCTCATTCATTAAGGGGTGATACATAACACTTAAATATGTTTATAGCACCAGCTTATTCTGTTTATTATTACGTTTGAGTTAAAAATAGCCATATTGATCTGTACCTGCTACTTTCAGCTATGCCACAGTTAACATAATAAAATGACAGGGAATCATTGAGCGCTTTGGCACAATTGAAATATCTCTTACTCTCCGTTGTGTGGGTTTATTCAGGTTTTGATTGCATTTTTTCACTAGTGGCTGCTATAAATTGTGAATTGTTATTTTGGCAGTCAATAATTGTAATTTCCCATATGATTGAATGACTTTCACAGGAGTAGTTTTGTGCTGTCCATATTTACTAGCCACAGTTCGATACAGATCCAATCCTGGCACTCGGCCATACTTTCTTTTTGACACTAGGAACAGATACTCACATTTATATCTGATCAAATGCAACCCTCGACAAGCTTGACCGACTGTAGATTCCTGCCATGATTTGATTGTCTTTGATTGGACAATACCCTACTATCTACTGCCCACATAAACGCATTGCACCACGACAGCATCTCTATCACAGTTTATCAGATCACAACCTCACGCTATGTTTACAACCCTCTACGTCCAGTCACGTTCCAGCCAGCAGTATTATGCAACAGCCCTCTGAAAGCACAAGTCACATCCCCACCTGTTGGAGAGAGACAGGAGGTCCACGCAGCTGTCCCCGTCCCAGGCGCAGTGGGGGTCCCGGGAGAAGACGCAGTCGTAGCAGGACGAGTACCGGGAGCAGGAGGACAGGGGCAGCTGGACCACGCCGGACGGGGAGCTCACGTAGACGCTCATCTGAAGAAGGAGAGGCGGATATAATGCGATATTAGTCATATTGTTAGAAGGGTTTTACAATTACGTCGGGATAACGGACATGAGATCTATAACATCAACAGTGTTCTACCATTCTTTAGTTTATGGTAAAGAACTCTCCATCAATTCAACAAGGAAGGGTGAGAAGGTTGCCAGTGAAAATGGCCACCACAAACAAAGCCTTAGGATGTGCAATTGGCAAGCGTAATCTACTTTAATTTTCAGAAAAAAAACATTAAAGAACGAAACAATGTAAACAACCGGGCTATGTGTTTGTATGTCAGAATATGAAATAATAATAATAAAAAAAGAATTAAAACTAAATGTAAACAATGATTACCCTTTATTACTCTAGAAAATTTATAAACTTCTTGATTGTTCACAAAAGAGCCCTAAAATGCGTATTCAACAGATGTTTTCAGTGCTAAGTATTTGTTGCGTTCATTTCAGGCGCCATGCAGAAACAGCTCTGTATTGAACAAGTTTTGCGATTAGTTCTGTACGTAGTTTCACATTGTTTTTACTGATTATAGCAATAAACCGGACGATCGAGGCATTGAAATGGTTATTTTTCAATTGTTTTGATAAATTGCTATCTGTGAAACAATACAGAAAAGTCTGTCCTTGTGGGACCATAAATATTATCAATTAATCTAATGTTTCTACAATGTAAAGAGGGTCACACCGTGTTTGCAGAATCGATATATATTACTTCCCGATTGTGATATGAATAAAAAGCTGTGTGAACATGTGTCTTGTAGACTCTACATGACTTTTCAAACAACAGAAGAAACCGATTCCGATCGAAGTGTATTTGTACAGCACACACTTTTACTTTTCAGATACAGTAAATTCATAATCTTTCTGGAAATGTGATAATTATATAAAATAGCAGTGTTTATGGATTAGGTAAAAATATATATTATGTTTTTTGCTAAATTATATAGCAACAGTGCTGTAGTTTGCACCTTTTCACAGATAAACAGAAAGGTGAAAGTAAAGATGCACTTTATATATCCCTGTAGGGGAATTCATCCTCTGCATTTGACCCATCCTGATGCCACAAGGGCGTCTGTCAGGAGCAGTGGTCTCCGTAGTAACAGCCCTCGCGGACCCATCTCCAGATGTTCATGCTCGGCTTGGACGACCAGAGCAGGAGGATTAACCTAAAGTGCACTGCTCATCTGCTAGCTCTTGTTAGTTTAAAGATAATCCAACACTTTCTGAAAGAGAAAGCACCTACAAACTCCTTATGCTGAATAATTGTTGCGTTGTGATGTGTTGGCCGGTGACAAATAGAGAAAGGAAAATACATTTTTATAACAACCACATCCATCTCCATCCTTGTAGCTATAGAGATGTCCAGGATGAACCTTATCCCTGAGGGCACTGACCTGATCCTGGGAGACCAGCACGCTGCTCACAGGCTCCGGTTCCTGCAGCAACTGCAGCTCCTCGATGATGTGCAGCTGACCTTCCACTTGGACGGCCTTGTGCAGCCAGCCGTCATCTGGCAACAGAGTCAGGAAGTCTCGTTGAGAACACACTCATACATTTTACACAGAATCTTGACATTGTTCAAATCATCCAAATTTCCAACGTAGGTGCCTAAACATGAAGCCGTGTGGCTTTGGTTCTCATGTCCAGCTGAAGATCCAAAGTCTTCAAGACAATTATTCAAAGTCAACTCTGATAAGGCTTTTCTTACAGCATGAGTTATACCGAGAATATGTAGAATCTTGATTCGCCTGCATTCAAAGCACCATTTCTCTGATGATTCTCTGTGTTTTCCGTTCCAAATACTTAATTGAACATGATGTATGGATCTAACACAGACTCTGCATACACACCTGTGCCCAGGTACAAGACATGATAGTGTTGTCCGTCCACAGCCTGCGTCACATGCACTGCTAACTGTGTGTAGTCAGTGGCCTTCCTGTAGAGCAGCGGTCTCTTGTCGGTGGGCTGCACCTGCAGGGACATGAGGGGGTGTCTCCTCACAAAGTCCAGGACGTCGTCTGGTAAAGAAGTGGACACGTTTATGCCCCGGGCCCGCAGGGAGTCTGTGATGCACTGTGGAGAGAACACACACTCAGACATATGGTCATCAAAACCATCATACTGAGTAGTTTCAAAAATCAAAAATAGTTGCAGACTAGAAAATAAAGCCAACAGTCATTGATGAATGAATCACAGCTAATTGATGAGAAGACGTCAAACCATTGGTAATGTAGTCATTGAATCCTTGCTTTTTGAATCATACAAAGTTCAACAGTTCAACATGCTGAAGACGTTTCATGACTCAAGCAGCGCTATTTTAACTCATTGAATGCCAGCCTATTTCAGAACAGGTACTCCCATAGTGCCAGCCATTTCTGATGATTTTTACTGATTTTTCAAGACCCACAGAATATTGTGTACTATGACTATCTGAAATCCGACACCACATTCTAAAAGAATGGACTGTCTACATTCCTCAGCAAAAAGAATTTTGTTTATAGCTTTTTTCGTTCCCCTGTAATCCTCCGTTGAGTAGAGGGAAGTTTTACTGAAATCACCAGAAATCACCAGAAAGTTGAGAAAAAACAGGCACAACATGTGCACCTACATGTTTTCAAACCATTCAGAGAGCAATGCTGCCACCTGCTGGCTCGATAAAATATGGTCTCAAGTCATCCCCATACATATTAGATACAATAGACATCTGGGAACGTGAAAATAGCGAAAAAAGCAATTGACGTATTAATGCGTCAATGGCACACGACGTTACTATTTGCTTTGACGTATTTGTGCGTCAATGGGACACAATGAGTTAAAGATTAGAAAAATCATTGTAACTCAAAAAACATTATCTTTATTTTGTACTCGTATACTGTACATATCCGGCTGATTTTTGTGATCTAACCAATAAATGTTTACTCCAGCTTTACTTTTATCTAAATTTACAAGGTAAGCTAAATTTAGACGAAACATTTTCTTAAATAAAAGGCCGAACATCAGCCCTAACCCCTGGCTCACATCAACTTCGACATCAGCTTTGGTCTTTGTACCAAGAAAAGTCATTTCAAGTATTCACATGCAGCGATGGAACCAGTGCAGGGACCAGGGAGCTCTGGATCTTTACTGTTGGAAGCTATTTTTAGCTGCACACCACAGACCTTTGCAAGCCTTTCTCCGTTCACATGGAGCAGTGGACATAAAAACAAAATGTAAAAGCTCTGTAAAATTGCAGAATGTCCATAACGCTACAACAACTTCTAAGCTGTGCGTTTAACGCGTTTGAGCCAGAAGATGTTGAATTAATAAAACATGTACCGTTAAGATGCTCGGATATTTTACTGCGGTGATGACAAATTCTCACATTTTCAGCTCTCCTCTGGTCCAATACAAAGACAGTACAGTAGCGCACTTGAGGAATAGCCTACTTGTATTCACAGTACATAACTCTGACTTATAGAGGGGAGTGCAGTGTTATGGGCTCAGCGGGACCTTGTGCTGCTCTGACCTAAGCAGAATCTGCCCATACCCAACTCATTTTCTCCTTTACTGTCCTTTTCATCCAAACTCAGTCAGCTCCATAGGCTTAACGCTCCCTGGTACAAATCCCTGACCGCATCATCACTCCTTATATGGAGAGGTAGAATTAAGCTGTGCAATGTTAGCAAAGAGACCACCCCATAGTCATTATTTGCAATTGGCTGCTGCAGCTGCCATAAGCCTCTGTACGATGAGTCTGGAAATAAATAGGTTGGTTTTGTTTACTGCCCGTGGGAATGTAGAGTATCTGCCATATCACTCCTCATCATCTACTGCTTTAATGTGCGCCTGAACACACTGCAAACAATATTCTACTGAAATTCTTTGGATTTGATTTGATTTAAGGCATAGAATATTTATTAACTACATTTCACTTCAGACTAGTTTTGAGAAAAGCTATTCTCATCTCAAATCTGCCTGTGGAATTATTTATTTTTCAAGTGCAGTTTTTATTTCTCTGCTGCCTGACAAGTCAAATAATTCTGTGTCCCCTCTAGGCATAGATATTGAAGAGAGAAATAAAACTAGTTAAAATCATCTCATGTATGAATATTCTGTTATTCATCTCATGCACAAACTGAGAATGCTGTTTCGTGTTTTTGTATTATTACTCAGAGCATTGCTTGCAGTGTCTGCATGTTTGGCATATTATTAGTTTTCAAAAACCATGTTCTGCTTTGTATTAAAGAAATTAACCTCAACTTTAAAGCTTCTTTCATAAAAGATTTTTTTTTTTTTGTCCGAACAGAAAGAATATGAGTATTGTAACACCAACATGCTTTGAACAAGTCAAAATGCTGTATTTAACTAATCTCCATAGTTGTAAGAAAGAGACCTGATTGAGGGCACCTCTCTCTTTTTTTACTTTTCTGTCTAAAAAAGCAGATGTGAAGATGTGACAGAGGCAAACACAATACATCCATGTAAAAACTCATGATGGAACCAAACTGTTTTGAGATCAGGGAACTAGTTGGATAGATGTTATTGTATAATTGTATAATGATTGTGGTGTGAACTCCAGACACCCTCTGCATGACACTATGGCCGCTCAGAGGAGTAATCGTAGTTACAGGCTTTTATCACTGCGCTGCCGAACGGAACAATTCAAGAGATTCTTTGTTCCTTCGGCTGTCAGACTGTACAACAGACCTGGATGAGTCTTCTGCTGCTGGACACCGGAATTTTTCCTACGGGGATCAATAAAGTATCTATCTATCTATCTATCTGAAAGCTGTGACCCTCAACTTAGACGTAATTTTACAGTGCATTTCTTCATTGGCTTGTATGACGGCTTTCACTGTATCTGCTGCCAATCCGAGCGAGATAAGCTCACACTGAAGGCACACGCAGGACAATGCTCTGTGTCGTGGCGAGTGTGTTGTGGACAGTTTACCGTTCCAGGCCGGGGCTCGGGGATCTTCCCGCTGTACTCTTTCCACTTGGAGCCCGAGTCCTGCGTCTCCATATAGGGCCCTTGGAAAGCCTCCCGCACTTCAGCCAGGGAGAAGCGACACACTGCAGAGCCTTTGACGTTCTTCCTAAAAGACACAACGTAGAAGCGAAATGAGAAAGAACAGGCGGTGAGCAATAACACCAATAAACCCACTCGTCGCCATAGCAACTCCAGTGTAAGCACAGTGGACCGCTGAAGTATGAGAGGGGGAAAGGAACAGGATGAAAGCAAAGGAAGACAGATAGCAAGTGCAGAATCAGATAAATAGGTGAGCGGGCAAGTTAGAGCAACACAGACGAGTCCAGGACTGCCACTTTAACTGTTAAAACTTTTATGCTGGTCGTTTTAAGAGCTGGGACTGTATTTATCCTAAAAGGAAGGGAGAAATATCCCCCTAGTTTTGTCTAGTTTTGTTGAAAGTAGTAAGTAAGTAAGTAATGTTCATTTATATAGCGCATTTTACAGACCAAGGTCACCCAAAGCGCTTTACAATTGTTCAGAACAGTTGACCACGTCCTGAAGCATTCAAATCTTGCTTCATTTCATGCAAACTTTACTAATTATTTTAGTTTACCTCAGCCTTGAAAAATAAAAAATATCCACCGATATAATTTGCAGGTAAATTAGAAAAACCTGTGTAAAGGATTCTCGATGGATTCTCCCAATGATCTCAACTCACAGCTTTATCAAACCAGATAATAGGAGTGGAGTTAGTACTTGTGACAGTAAAAGTAGTATCGTTTTAATTTGTATTTAATTCATTTTTTTGAAAGCTTCTTGCAAAATATTGAATTATCTTTCACAGTGCTAAATGAGCAGGAGTAATATATGCAGAAATGTGGTAGGTCGGGTGTATGACTCACTTCAAAAGGGTAAAATCAACATATTGTTTATAATCCACTCTTGCAAAACTAAACTGAAGAAGTGACAAATGCGAACCACATAACAACAAAGTGCCATAACTGGACAGATGTTGTGTTGTTGCTGCTCTGTCCAGTCGCTCTGTTGCTGCTTCTTGGTCTGGACTAGTTTAGTCTAGTTTAGTTTAGTTTTGTCTTTATTTGAAGGGACAATGTACAGAGACATTAAGCTCAAAGACAGATATGTTCTGCACCAGATTATAGCTAAACAGATAGTTTCAATCTGCAGTTCCTGGTTACATCAATAAAATACATGGATACAGGTCTGGTCTGGACTGGTCTGGTCTGAGGCACTGGACCTGCTGCATCAGTCATGTGTGGGACGATTACTTTGATAGAATTGTGTATTGAATGTATGTATTGAATTGAAACATGGGAGACATTTCAGATGATCATAACATTGCACATGGCTGGGAGTTTATACGATTGTCTTACTCCCACTTAATTTCGAGCGGTTGTAAAGAAATACAATATGTATTCATTCATATTATGTAACATCTATGTGTGTTATTATGTAAAGTAATGTATATAATGTAAGTGTTTATGTACACTGGTGCTAAAATATACATGTATGCTTCTTGTAACAAAAATAAATAAATAATACCATAAGATTTCCAGCTATAAGCACAAGAGAAATAAAAACATGAAAAATAGTTATTTTATGGAATTAAGAAGTCCAGCTCTGTCCTGGGCTGTTCCCTGGACACAGTGCAGCAGGTGGGGGACAGGAGGGTCCTGGACAAACCAACATCTATGCTGGACCATGACCATCACCCCCTGCAGGACACTCAGTCTGCTCTGGAGAGCAGCTTCAGTGACAGACTTATTCACCCTTGCTGTGTGAAGGAACCAAACCATCTATCCATTTTCTATTGACTTATCAGGAGTCAGAACGCTGAGGTAGCAGTCCCGAGGCATTCCCAGGCCAGCTGAGAGAGTGTCACTGGGATATGCCCAGAAAACCTTGCAAGAAAGGCCTCCGGAACAGATAACCCGCCGCCTCCTCCGGCTCCTCTCGATGCAGAGGAGCAACGTCTCCTAAAAGTTGCATAATCTCCCATCTTTGGACAACTAAATAAGAAAACTTTTCACTTTTCACTAATAACCTCTAACCCAACTTCACTCATCAAATATCCTTTGTAATACTCCATTAAACTAATAGATTTTAGCAGTTTAAAAAAATCCAGCCCACTTCAATCAGTCTTTCATCTCCTCCTCTCTGTCCAATGGCCCGACTTTATCGATTTTCCCCGTTTCATCTGCGTAGGACACATTTACATTTGCTCCTCCATAAAGCCCTGTCAGGACCAAAGCTGGCACTCACCACTCCAGTCCAAAGATGCCAAAGAAGAGTGTGTCCTCTGGAGCCGCGGCCGGCAGCGTGAAGACACTGCGCAGAATGTTAAAGTGGAAGTTGAACTCTGGCAGGGAGCAGACGAGACGAGCTTTGAGGAACGATGTCCAGCGCTTCTGGAGGGTCAGGTGCCCCCCTCTGTCACCCTGTGGGGGTCAGAGAGAGAGAAATGAACCAGGGGGACACATCATAGGCTCTTTTTACCTGACAGTTATATACTGTTGAGATGACAGTTATTTCTATTGCATTCAACTCTTTAATATATCATGTAGAAGCACATCTTGATTACAACATACTTACAGCCCTTTTCATCAAAATATAGAAAAGTGCCTTGCCGAGAAATCATACACGTGCAATCTCTTGTTAGCCCTCTGTGACTTTGAGCTTTGAATGTTGTGAAACAAGCTAATAACGTCATCAATTTTATGTGTGAGAAGCTATAACATAGATATTTATTGTTGTTGCAAGTAGAAAAAATAATTATCTTTTTGATTATTCTAGTAGAGTAAAAATGTCTTTAAAACCTCAAGATAAAAACATATTTAGATATAATAAATCAATTTCTCTTGATACAAAGGCAGTTGATGTAATATCATAATCCTGTATTCTTCTGGATTATAGTATTGCACACTTTCCCAGTCTTTAGTTGTTGCCGTCTTTATGCACCCACAATCCTCCTCACTACACACTACACGATTGCATCACCACAGCAGCCTCCTCAGCTTCTAAATTATACATACTTTTTGCCATTTCAAAATCAGTAAACCATAGCTGCACATCAATTCTCAGTCTTGGTTGAACTAAGGACGAGGCAACCTTAAGCGTGCGGCTCAAGGTTGGACATGACCGCCTAAAGAGTGCAACAGATGGCGGAGGAGAGCGATAATCAGACTGTGAATGAGCTCTGGGCTTCCCGTTGGTGAGATCGACGCCAATCCACAGGTCTGTGTTGGAAAGAGCGTCCTTCACAAAGAGTCAGGGCGCCTCACTGTAGGGGCTTTTCAAACTGTGATAGACAAATATGTTTCTTTTTCACATTTTCCCTGAAGCGCATAAAAGAGAAGCTGCCGTCAAGGCCACAGCCTATTCCTGTAATCATTCTGTGACACGGCTTGCAGTCTGTACAATCGTTCATTTATATTCAAGTATGATGTTGATAAGACGTTATAAAACACTGGTTCGGTGACGTGCAGAGGTTTCATGGTTTTGGAGGCACAAACGTCATCACTATCAGATCTACAGCTGTAACAACATGTGCAACTACTTCTTTGGAAACAGCTGATTATGTTTTAGGTCTGATGCCAACATTCTTTACACACATCTCATGATCATGTAAAAAGCACATTTAGTTTAAACAACATTGTTATGGTCTGACCTTGACTTATAATGAAGTCCATTCACCACTGTCTGAATAAAAGCAGTGTATAAACAAACACACTGACTCTTTTCATGTGTCCAGCATCTCCAGCCAGTAATTACATTTTAGTCCAATACAAAAGAGTTAACAAGAAAACAAAGACTGGGCTGCACTTGTATATTATTTTTTTTAGCTTGTTTATACTTGTGTTGCTGACCCGGCTGCACCTAAAAATATTTAATAAATCTTAAAAAGGTTTGAATTTTCACTTGGCCAAACCTGAAACGAGCCTGAGAAAAGGAAGGACGTGGAAGGAGGAATTGGATGAATTTGGATGCTGAGCACAAAAAAGATTTGTTTACAAAACACAACGGTTTTGCATCAGCTAAACCATGGAAATTATGATTACACAGCAAAACTATAATAATGATTTACCAAGACAACAGTACAGTCTGTTGGAGTTGTATTGAGTTCTACTACACACAATTGTTAAAGTGGACATATCGTGTTTTCAAATAATTGATTTTTACATCTAAATCATTAATTTGTGGCCTATATAAAGTGTAACTGCAATGCCTGGGTCTGAGTCTCATTATTTGTAGCTCCACGGGCCTTTCTTCTACACCTGTTCTGAGGTGCGTCTGAGAGCAACCTGTTTTGGTGCTGTCTCTTTAAATGCAAATGAGGCGCTTTTGACCACGCCCCCATCCAGGTGACACAGGTTCAACTCCACCCCGAGTGGCCATTTTTGTAGTTACTAAGCACAGATACAATTATCTCATAGAAACTTCTCATTACATCGCAAACATGAAGCAGGCCCTCCTCATTGACTGAAAGCAAATGTAAATTTTCATTCTTAGTCCAGTCTTATTATTGACTCTTCTCTTTTTAGCTTTGGGATCCATGCGCACAGTCTATGATGCTCACACGCCGGTTTGTTTACAATAGCGGCCTAGCGGCGCGGGCCTACGTCGCAGGATATGACACACTACGTTGACAGAAATGTTTAAATTGAATATTACTTATGCAAAATTTTACAGCATTTAAAAACGTTAAGAACGTTTATAACTGCTCCCAAAGTTTATTGTTTGTACAGATAAAGCCACGCTTCAACTGATGTTTTAGTCGTTATTTATTTTGTCACAGCCTTTTCTTTTACTGGACCTTCGACCAACCACCGTGAAAAACTATAAGCAAAAACAATATATTTGTCAATAAAATTCAACTTAAAAGTAAAATAAAACATCCACATTCATCAAAATAAAAGTACATACCGTGTGCGCCTTCTGCACTAACATTTAGGAGTGGTTAGAGTCCATTTCAGTCCTTTTTTTGTTTCCAATTGTTGTACCTTTTCTTAGCGACCTTTTTGTGTCCGTGTTCTTCAATCACCGGAAGCCATCTGTCTCTATCCAATTGAACACGTGCCTTGCGCTCTGCTATTTCCCTAATCGACCACAAGGAGTCACTAGTGCAACACAGGTATGGCATAACTATTGTGAACAATCAACTTAAATTACAATATAAACAAAAAATAAACACATTTCTTCTGAGACAGCTACACTGCCACCAAAATTACAAAAAGTGTACATTTACACACAAGTAAAACATTGTAATTTTCAAAAAAAAAACAACACATCAACCTTTGAACTCTGACTTCGTTTTAAATCTTGGAAAACTTAAGCAGACTCATTCTGCACTAGTACCACTAGTTTCTGAACTGGTCGCTCAAGAAAAGATAACTGTTTTAAACGTTCACCTTTCTTTCCTAAATCTTTCTGTCCTACTTGAATCTTAACTTTTCGTACTAAGCCATCATCATCTTCATTCGCTTCGACTACCTTCGCTAATTTCCACTCATTTCTGGGAATATTCTCTTCCTTGACTATCACGATATCTCCGACTTGTACATTTCTTTTGGATGTATGCCACTGTTGTCTTAGGCTTATGTTTGTTAAATACTCTTTGCGCCATCTGTGCCAGAATTGTTCAGACAAGTATTGTACTTTTCGCCATCTCTTTCTAGCGTACAAATCCTCTCTAACAAAATCGCCTGGAGGTGGAAATGGAACTGACTCTTTCATTGTAAGTAAATGATTGGGCGTCAAAGGTTCTGCACTCTTTGGGTCATTGATAGTATTGGTAGTGAGCGGACGATTGTTTACGACTGACATGGCCTCATAAAAGAAAGTTCTCAAAGAGGTGTCGTCTAATCTTCCTGTGGCTTGTGCCAGGACAGAACTCAAAACATTTCGGACAGTTCTGATTTGGCGTTCCCAAACTCCGCCTCTGTGACTCGCTTCAGGAATGTTCATTTTAAAGTCACACTGTTGTTTAGCTAAATAAGTAGCAATCCTGTCTTTGTCAAGTTCTAAGAGACATTTGTTGAACTCATTCTTAGCTCCGACAAAATTTGTACCATGATCGGATCTAATCTGTCTCACTGCTCCTCTGATCGCTATAAAACATCTCAATCCATTTATAAACGCATCAGTAGAAAGATCTTCTAACATCTCAATGTGAATAGCTCTGGAGCTTAAACACGTAAACAAAAGACCATAACGTTTACATTCCTTTCGACCTTGTTTCATGTAAAATGGACCAAAACAATCCATTCCTGTATAAGTGAAAGGGGGTGAGGGATCTACTCTGTCAGCTGGTAAGTCAGCCATACGCTGTTCCTCTGTTGGCCCTCGTACCTTTCTGCACACAACACAACCTTTGATGTGACGGGCCACTACCTTACTGGCACCTACAATCCAATAGCCACTGGCTCTAAGTGCATTTAGTGTTTGGCCTCTGCCCTGGTGTTGTGTTTTCTTGTGACAATGGTCAAGAATAAGTTGTGTGACAATGCCTTCCCTAGGGAGAATAACAGGGTGTCTCAATTCAAATGATGCTGAGGATTTTCTTAACCTCCCTCCTACCCTAAGTAGGTCATTACCAACAAAAGGATCAAGTTGGTACAACTTGTGAGTTTTGGGCAATTTGTTTGCTTTTGTTTCATTTCTTGTTCAAAAGACCCGAATAAGTGCAAACGAAGCTGCTTGTCTCTCCTCAACACTAATGGGTTCTGATTTGTCCTTTTTGGCAAGTCTCTTTATCTTTGCAACAACATTAACTGCTGTATTCCAGTCTGAGAATCTAGAGAACCTCTCAAGAAAATTGTCTCTCTCTAGAACATCAGTTTTAAGAACCTTTACTTCAGGGTCTCCCACTAAAAGCTCTGGGGAATGTGACTTTGTAACAAGTTCTTGTTTCTGTACTCGGTTGGCGACAAAAAAAATGAAAGCGCCTAGCTTCATTTTTAATGTACCCGAGCACCACTTGTGAATCGGTCCAGAAAAACTCCTCTTCAATCTTTAGCTCTAGCTCTGCTCTGAGGAAGTTACTTACTCCTGCGGAAACTGCAGCCGCAGTGAGCTCAAGACGCGGTATAGTAACTACTCTAGTGGGAGCCACTCTGGCTTTTCCCATAACTAGAGCACAGTGCACTTTGTCTTCCGCAACAATCCTTATGTATGAGCACTGCCCGTAGCCACTGCTGCTAGCATCTGCGAAATGATGCAGCTCGATCCTTTGTGGTGTGCCCATGTCCTCAGGAATGAAGCATCTTGGTATTTGAATCTTTGGTAGATTTTCCAGATCGTTCAGCCATGTTTTCCATTTGGTTTCCAATGCAGGAGGAATAGGATCATCCCATCCTACACCACGTTTGCACATTTCCTGTAGTACCTGTTTTCCTGTTAGAATGTACGGAGAGAGAAATCCTAATGGATCATACACACT